ACAATAATTTTGTCAAANGATTGCCAACATCTTTAAAACCTAATAGTTCGCACGAGGACTAAGGTTTAAAATGTAATGACAGCAAAATATTGATTTTGTATTTATTTATAATACTTCTAATCTATATTTATAAAGCAAGTAAATTGTGATTTTTATGAATATGAATGTTGTATTGGATTCATGATTCCCCTTATTTCTATTTATTTCAATTATCAATTAATAATCTAATTAATTTCATGCATTTTTGACAACCGATAACTCTAATATGTTAAATACTCTTTTCCAAGATACACCAACTTATGATTAACACTATCCAATCATATTCGTAGTCCAAATTCATATGAAAATCATGAATTTAGTTTATGTTATCTATATGATTGCATATGCCATATATATTATTTATACTACATATTGCCTATGTATTAATTGTATTGCATTCTAAATTTATTGNAAATGAAAATTTAAAAATATGACAAGTTGACACTATTATTTGTACTAAGGGAATTAATCTTAAATTTACAGACGAAGCTTACGGCAACTTAACATTATTACTACAACTAAAGGACCACAATCTTAAATTTAAGATTGAACTTTTGACACCTTCCATAGTTGGAAAGCGACTTGCGAAAAGTTTACACTATTATTGGAATTAAAAGAATATAATCGATAAAGCGAGATTTCAATACTTATCCGGATCGTCAAAGGTGGATATTTGAGAGTCAATTTGATAAAATTACTATTTAACTTGATTAAATATCAATTATTGTAAGATAAACTCGAATTTGGATGGCTATTAATGAAGTTATTTGAAAACCAGCCAAATATGGTTGTAAAGTTTGGGAGACTAAATTGTAAATTTTCTAAAGTTGATTCGGACCATGAATGTATAATTGAAGATTACGTGGATCAAATTGAATGAATTTAGTAGTTGAATGACTCATGGAAAATACAAAAGAGGACACAAACACTAAATTTTTTGTTTGTAATATAGATTAATAAAGAGGGATTTAAAGTCTTTATGCTTGCTTTTAATCGAATTTACAAATGCTTATTTGTTGCTCATTAGATTAGTTCACATAATTAGTACAAAATCTACAAATCGCAACTTTGTTAATCGATTAGGGTTAGTATTAGTTAGAACTAAATTAAGTACTTGATCCTCAAGAAAACTATACCTGATTCACTACTTTATTACTTGGCTATGATACTATGTATTTGCAAAATTTTAGTGATCAAGTTTTAGCGATATTGTTGAGAACTATAATATTTAGTTAATTATATCTTCAATCTGAATTTTTACTACTTATAGTTTTTAATTTAATTACCAACATTATATTTTTTTTTCCTTTCTTTTTCATATCTCTTGCATGTAAAGTTCTGGACAGAGTGATCTTACTCCATTTGATAGAAAATCAAACGAATAGTAGTTTAAGATAAAGAAAACAATTAGAAGCACCCAAGAATAGAAAGAAGAGACACTAGAAGAAAAATGTTTAAAATCCAGGAGTTGTCATTGTGGTTAATGAGAACAAGAGACTTATGAGAGAATGCATGGTTTCGTCGATGGTAGAGACTCAGTCGAGCATAGCTGGTCCAACATTTGGGCAATCAAACTTCTATTTGAAGACATAAGTAAACCATATGTTTCAAAACGTACTAAAATTCTGTAGGAGACCAAACGACAATCCAAATACCCATATCTCAATATTTTTGTATGTGAATAGATCTATTTCATCATTGGTCCAAAGAGAAATGTCCGTGGAGGTTACTATACTTGAAACAATAGAGGATGGGGTAGTCCAACCATTTTGTACACTAACCCAAATCTTCTCATCTAGAGACTTAAGGAATGCTTTGATCTAGTTTTCCAATATGCATAATTGCTTCCGTCAAAAAACGAAGGCACGAAAAGAGACTGACTCATCTACATTAAATATGGGTCACGAGTTGAAATGAGGCTCTCATACTACTTGAAATAACGAAGTTCGACCCAACTAACACCTAGAGGGAGGTGAATAGGTGTTTATGCGGAATTTAAATT